ACTTTCCTGTCCTCTTTTTATGTCCAGTCTCATCAAGGTAAAAATTAAATAGTCTGGTTTTATAGTCATATAACACTTACCATATATTTTTATATTTAATTGATATACAGCGTGTCGATCTTAAAACTTACAATGGGGTGTATCTCACGAACAGAAGCTGATATCAAAAAATGCTTGAAACTATTTCTATAATAGTAAGGGGAAACTAAAATGACATGACAGAGAAGTCACCTTCATCAACCCCCTGGGCCCCACCCACCACAACCAAAAAAGTTTAAATTGCAAACCCCTACTTGTGATACATCATTGAAAAGACTATAAAAAATGCTATCCTATGGTATAAATAATAATTATTCAGGGTGAAGCAATAATTGTGAAACTTTGGGTTACATGGAAAATTTAATGAGGTTTTTGTTGAACTGCAAATTTGTTCAAAATAACAATTAAATAAATCTATATAAGGTTGAATGTTATAATTAAACTTTGATAGTATACAAGGCAACTATCGAACAGAGTGATTAATTAAATCTTGCCCAAGTACTTTCGATCAATAGATCATCTTCAGGGGCATTTCGTCAGTTGTGGCCTATCCGACATGAGTAGAATGTCGTACATGTAAATTTGGACATAACAATACAATACACAGACAATTTTTTTTTTAATTTTAAAGTGTTTGTTTGTCTTTGTGTATTGTATTCTTATGTCCAAATTTACATGTATGACATTTTACTCATGTCGGATAGGCCACAGCTGACGAAATGCCCCTGAAGATGATCTATTGATCGAAAGTACTTGGGCAAGATTTAATTAATCACTGTGTTCGATAGTTGCCTTGTATACTATCAAAGTTTAATTAAATAAATGTTCAAAGCGGATTCCGTTATTTTGTAAACAATAAGACTGCCTACTTTCAAATTCTACACGAACTTTGGCAAATGTTGTTCTAGTACTAGCACGACATGCTTGCGTAATTCTTTCTCGCAATTCTCCAAGTGATGCAGGTTAAGATTTATAAACAATTGACTTGAGATAACCCCATAGAAAAAGACAGGTGGCGGTAAGTTTAGTGACCTCGGTGGCCACTTAATAAGACATCTCCTTCCAATTCATTTGTTCTGAAAATTAGTATCCAATTAGGATGCCTTGATCGTCCCTTGGTTCTCTAATTCTTGTACAATTAAAGGTTCGATGGTGTTTCCCAGCATATATCGAGATAATTTTCGCCACTTAAATTGCTTGGTATGAACAAGGGGCCAATTATAGCATCGCCTAATATTCCTACCCAAACATTCAGCTTTTCAGGATATTGAGTGTGACAGTTTTGGTTATTTACATTAGCATTCAGCATAAAAGTACATTCATCAGTAAAACAAATATTTTTTAAAATTCTCGGTTCAGCGCAAATTTTTTCAGTCATAAGTTCACAAAACTCAATTCGTCGGTCTGGATCATCATCGCCTAGTTCTTGAAGAATTTGTGTTTTGTATGGGTCAAATTTGTGTAATTTCGACAACCTTCTATCCGACTCATGTGAAAGTCCTGTAATTGCAGATACTTGACGTAGTGCGTCAGTGGTCAAGTGTGTCAACAAAATTTCCAAGGCCCTCAATTTGGGATGCATCCAGTAATCCCTTCAATAATCTTCGGGCATCCCTTTTTTTATTTTGCACTGATCCCATTTTTCTAAAATTTTCAACTAAATCGCGGACGTACACGTGACTTTCCGTGTCCATATGCCTTTCATGAAATATTTGAGATGTTCGTAAATAACACTGTTTCTGGGATGTAAATATGAAAATGATCTCCACCATCGTGACAACTACAGCTGAATGACAGTCCATCATTCATACAAATTATGAAAACTAATGGCATTTAAAATTCTCAAATAAACCAAAAATGATTGATTCTGACGGAACCCAAAAAACAGATGTTTTTAACTTATTTTGCAAAAACTGCAAATGAAGTTTTTATTTTCCAAAAAAAAAATTCCGAAGGGCACGTATCATTAAAAATAATAGTCCGATAGGTAGCATTACAAATACAAAAATCATTGTAAGCCTTCTGATAATAACATTATTAAACAATAATTATACGGGGTCATCAACAGAATCAACAAAAACCTCATTAAATTTTCTATTTAAGGCTGTTTTATCGGTACACCAAAACCTAGAGACAGTGTTTTCTCTGTTATTTACCGACAAAATGTCTCGAAATTTGGATACGTTATTCAAAATTATGTTGCCTTTAAACTGATGGTTTTACTCTTTAAATTTTTTTGAAAGTTCGTTTGAAATATCGGATTATGCAGTTTAACGTTCTATTATAACCAAACTTTTTACGCCAATCACTTGAAAGAGTTTTTTTTTTCTATAATCGTTAATTTTTTTTTCACCTTTCTGTGTCCAGTAATAATTGAGAAAAGCGTGTTCAAACTTTGAAGAAAGTTGCTAAAAAATACTAAAATCTAATAGTGAAACGTGTTACTCATCATTGTCGCTTAGTTTTACCGTTATCGCCTTCGTGACGTCAAATCTCATGAACGTACGGTCAGTTAGTTCGATTTGAAATCATTTTCAAGCTATAACTGCGAAATTGTTTTTTTGTTTATGACAACAAATTGTATTTTTTTTTTTTAATAATAATATTTTTATGTTATTTTAAATTTATTATAAATAAACACCATGATGTTTTTTGCAATCACGTTTCACAAATTTTTATTCAATACTATATTTAGCTAAGACATATAAATTAAAAATATGATAATTCTTTTTAAAACATCATACGATAATTAATTAAAAAATGTATTCCTGACAAAACTAATTTGAATAGAGAATAATGCATTTGTTGTCATTAAACTACCCTTCGGTCGGCGCCACTGAGTAAACAGTTGGCTGGCTACCCTTCGGCTGGCGTAAGCAGTATAGAAAAGTAAATGATACGCCCATTTCAAATCGCAGTGTGCTTTGACTGCTAAAAGAACCTTAAGCCAAAGTTTCACAATTATTGCTTCACGCTCTATAATTATTATTTATACCATTGGATAACATTTTTTTATAATATTTTCAATGATGTATCACAAGTAGGGGTTTGCAATTTAAACTTTTTTGGTTGTGGTGGGTGGAGCCTAATGGGTTGATGGGGATGAGGTCTCTTTTATGTCATTTTAGTTTCCCCTTGGTATTTCACCCTGGTAAATCACCGGGTCCAGACGGGCTCACATCAGAACTTCTTAAGCTTGTGGAAGGCGAATCAGTAAATATTCTACTCGACCTTTTTAACTGCATCTACAAAAGAGGAGAAATACCAAAGGAATGGCTACTTTCAACTTTTGTAACCTTACCAAAAAAGGCAAATGCAAAACAGTGCACTGACTACCGCACTATAAGCTTAATGGGTCATACATTAAAAGTATTCATCAAAGTAATCCACTCAAGAATTAACAGAAAACTAGATGCAGATATCAGTAATACTCAATTCGGATTTCGGAACGGGCTTGGAACAAGAGAAGCACTATTTGCACTTAACGTCATATGCCAAAGATGTCTAGATATAAACCAAGATATATATATATATATATATATATATATATATATATATATATATATATATATATATATATATATATGTGCTTCATTGATTACAACAAAGCGTTTGATAAAGTTCGTCACGATCACTTAATGAAACTGCTAGTAGAAAAAAACTTGGATAAAAGGGACATTAGAATTATCTCTAAGATTTACTATAACCAGAAAGCAAATATCCGAATAGAGCAAGAGACAACGGAGGAAATCGAGATCAAGAAAGGCGTAAGACAGGGTTGTATACTCTCACCGACCTTATTTAATCTATACTCCGAAGACATTATAAACACAGCATTTTCGGATCAAAATATAGGTATTAAGATAAATGGCATCCGAATAAACAACTTGAGATATGCCGATGACACGGTACTAATCGCAGAAACTTGGGAAGATCTTCAAATACTAATTAACAAAATAGTAGAAGCAGTGAAGAACACGGATTATCACTTAACATAAGCAAAACAAAAATAATGCTAATATCTAAATCACCACAAAACTTTCCTGACATAACCGTGCATGATCAAAGAATCGAACGTGTAAGAAGATATAATTACCTGGGAACTGTTATCAACGAAAATAATGATTGCTCTGAAGAAATCAGAACCAGAATAGAGAAAGCTAGAGCCACATTTACTAAATTGAAAAAGGTGTTCTGCGGAAGAGATCTAAGTCTAAAACTTAAAATTCGCCTTTTGAGATGTTACGTTATGTCAGTTCTCCTCTACGGGATGGAAACATGGACATTGAAAAAGATCGATACCAAAAAGATAGAAGCATTTGAGTTGTGGATGTATCGTAGAATATTAAGAATACCCTGGACAGAGAAAGTAACACATGTGGAGGTTTTGCGGAGAGTGCGGAAAGAGAAAGAGCTGATACTTACTGTTAAAAAGCGCAAACTACAATATTTGGGACATGTTATGAGGGGAGATAAATACCAGTTGCTGCAATTGATTATACAGGGAAAGATAATGGGAAAGAGATCTATAGGAAGAAGAAGGCATTCATGGTTGAAAAACTTGAGAGAATGGTACAATTGCACCAATTACCAACTGTTTAGATCTGCAGCATCAAAAATACGCATAGCTTTGATGATAGCCAAACTTCGGAACGAAGACGGCACTTGAAGAATAAGAAGTTTCCCCTTACTATCCTAGAAACGGTTTCAAGCATTTTTTAATATCAGCTTTTGTTCGTGAGATATAGCCCATTATAAGTTTTAAAATTGACTCACTGGATAGTTCTTGGCTTCAGTCTTCAGTAAAAAAAACTTTGAACAAAAAGCCCTTCGTTAATCAGTACAACATAAAAATCAAACCATACAAATAAACTATGAATCTCAGTTAAATTGTTTGTAAAGATTTTATGTCCACTTACAAACAGAACATACTGTAACTAACGATTAAATTTTTTTTCTAGCCGAAATAAAGATGCCCAGCGGAAACATTGACAAACCAATTATCGAAGACAATCGTGATGGTACTGTAACTATAAAATACGATCCTCGTGAGGAAGGTAAGATTCGTTTATTTGTATTTTTATCAAGCAAATATTTATTTTAATGTTTAATAATTTTTAAATTGTATTTATACGTACAATTAGATCTGTTAGTCTCAATCTAAAGTAAGAGTTTTGCTTGTATTATAAACAATTATTTCAATATTTCCATACAAAACATTACAAATACTTTTATATTGACAACACAAATGCAATAAAATATTCTTTACCACAATTTTCAGGTGTTCACGAATTAGCTGTGAAATTCAATGGAGAACATGTCCAAGGTTCACCCTACAAAATCCACGTAGACTCAATTAGTTCTGGTTACGTAACTGCGTATGGTCCCGGCCTTACCCATGGCGTTACTGGAGAACCCAGCAACTTCACTATTTCCACCAAAGGAGCCGGAGCTGGAGGCTTGTCAATGGCCGTAGAAGGTCCCAGTAAAGCTGAAATCAGCTGTCATGACAACAAAGATGGTACCGTTTCGGTATCGTACCTTCCCACAGCTCCTGGAGAGTACAAGATTTCGGTTAGATTTGGAGACAAACATATTAAAGGTAAGTAATGTTTCTTAAAAAAAAAACACAAACAAAAAATCATTCCAATTAAAATTTGGACATTACAATATGTGGCAGCTTGGTCATTTTTATGGTCTCGTTTATCCGCGACCCTCTAGAAGCTATTTTTAATATTATTAAAAACCTATTATTTATAAACTAGATCTATGTATTAGCACTACTGTGTGTTATGATTATAATATAAAAATATACGATTTTAAAGAAAATTGTAGTTAGTTCCCAATAAACTTATCAATGTATTATTATAAATACTGAACAGTAGTAGAATGGGGCTGTTCACTTGCTTGTGTTAGTTCATAGATCGTTCAGTTTACCGTTGTTGTGAGGTTGTGTTTTAATTTGAGCTTGTCGGTAACGGGAAAAAGCCTCTTGCCTTGTGGGCGTGAGACCAGGCTCCGTACACGCTCTTTCCGTTGCTTGTGACCTAAGAGAATAGGAATCTCGGTCGGTGGCCATAGTGGAATGCTGCTATGGACACCTTTAGCTGTGGAAAAATACAGATAAATGGAGTAACAATTAGGGTGTTAAATCTAAGAATCTGAAAAGGAACTATAATTAGCTCCAGACCTTATGTCTGGAGGATAATTATACGATTAATTTAACCTAAGAATCTGTAATGAAGAAACGTATTAGATTAAATCACATTACACAAATTTACATGCAAATTTGATATTAATAAACATAGAGAAACCCAGCTGTCAAAAATGATAGGTAGGAAGGAACGGTGATAAGACCCTGAAACCAGCTGGGATCTGTCTAGTATAGTGCCATTCGGCAATATTAACAATAAAATGTATCAGTATTACACTGTAAAAATAGATATAGAGGAAATTCGAAATATTTATTTCAGAAATTTCCTAAGTCGCTGAGACCTGTAAATAAGAAATAGATACAAGAAATAAAATACAAGTTAATTTCCGAATATCAAGGATATTCCTACGGGAAAATAAAGTATGTTTATTCCTGAAAGAGAACAAGTAACAAAATCATACAAAGTGTCAACATATATCTCAGACCTAAAATTTCTTACCAGTTTTCAACAGTGTACCTGCAAACTAACGTATCAGGTTTTAACAGTGTACCTGTAAAACTACTCTAACAGATTATAACAGTGTACCTGAAAGAGATTGCAAATAGGAATGAAATAAAACACAATGTTATTACTTTATTTCTCAATGTCGTCCGGTGGCTAAGTCCTGTAAAGTAAGGAACTTTGAATACCTGGAAGAAAACAATTTCTTACACTACTTGTAAAGCGTCGAAGTAATCAGATCTAGACAAGGTCTAAGAACACAGATTATTCGACGAAGATTTACGGCGCTCTTAAGGAAATATTAGCAAGTCCGACGAGGTCGAATGCAGAGATAAATCCTCAAGAATGGCCGTTTGGATTTGCGCTCGCAAATCGACAGAGTTCACTCTGGAACTCCGCCAAAAGTTAAACTTGGTGGAACGTGAGGTTCCGGGTTTAAAGGTGAAATTAAAGATGAGCACGTGTCGTTCTGGGTTTGAGGCTCAGAGAACTTAATCTACCTGAGTATCTCTACATGCCTGAGGAGGCTGGACTGGCGGACATATCCTGACCCAGTCTACCGTATCGGCCATCGTGCATTTCTTTTATAGAAAAATATCTAGGTCAATCTCCAACGCTCATTTCTGACCGATGGTTATTGGACCAGCACGATAGCCAATGCTCAATTCCTGATATTATCATTGGCTACAAGTCTGTTGTATATTGACCAACGATAATACAGAAGTTGAGCAGCAGATTCCAAAATTGTGATTGGTCGCAATATTGTTGCTTTTTAGCCAATCACAAGCTCTGAAATCTGCATTTGGCGACAAGCTACAGTGCATTTTTTTTTATTGTTTTGTTTCCATGTTTGAGAAAAAAAACTTCTGTTGACGATTATTCAAAAGTTAGAACTCATAAGTAAAATTAAAAATGGTGCTTCCGTACGGTATCGGTGAGTCGACAGTGGAAGACATTTTAAAACTAAAGCTCAAACTTCTTTCATTTGCGTCAACGTCAGAATAATCTTCTGCCATGGAGGAAAGAGAAACAATGAGAAACTCGTCTTACGTAGAATTAGAGACGGCTTTGGTAGAATAGATTGCCCAAGTTCATAACATGAGTACACCCATATCAGGTCCAATAATTTTTGTAAAAGCAAAACAGTTTTTTGACGTGTTGTGCTTAGAAGGAGATTTTGATGCATCATCTGGTTGGTTGACTCGCTTTAAACAACGCCATGGAATAAAGGAGATAGGACTTCATGAAGAGAAGCTCAGCAGTGACCAACAAGAAGCTGAAGGATTTAAAAGTGAGTTTGAAGAGTTCCATTCTTCAAATGATCTGAGCTACGAACAAATTTATTACGCAAACGAATCGGACCTCTTGTGAAAATACCTTCCAACTTGAAAGCTAGCTTTTGCAAGTGCATATAAAGTAGGAGCCATAAATCCAGCATAGAACACATCACGATTATGTCTTGCAGCAACGCAGTCCAGGTCGAAGAAGAACCTCATGGTTGAAGAACTTGCTTGATTGGTATGGTGTAGATACAAGCATGCTATTTAGGGTGGCAGTGAATAAAATTAAAATAGCTATGATGGTGACCAACGTTCTGAAAGGACATGGTACATGAAGAAGAAGCAACGCTACAGGAATTCATAAACTGAAGTTGACGGTGATTGGCAAGGCAAAAACCTAGATCTTTTAAGGGCACTATAGCAGAAAAACTACCTGATGATTACTTCAACCAAAGGAAAGGGTGGATAAATAAAAAAAAATTTAAGATTGCAAGAACAAAAAGCAAACAATTTGCCACAAAAATATGTGTTGACCCCCCCCCCACATCCTGAAACGCATATACTTAAAATCCACTAGAAAACTAAGTTCCTGTAGCTGGCTGTATACCATATATCACAAAAAAATTTATTTCAAATCCTTTTTATAAAAGGTATATAATAAAATGTACTATGCTCAACAGGTCCTCGAAGACACTTCGTCTCAGGACCTATGTAGGGTCATACGTCGCTATGTTACCAACTCCAACGGTAACTTAAACATCCTAATTTGTAATTATATATAATGTAAAACAACTATAAATTTATAACATTTAACGGGTTTTGACCCATATATTTTGGTGGCTCATAGCATGTATACCCCGTTTACACTGATGATGAAATTAACATTCCGAAAACGTTCTGTAATGTAATTGTGAGAACCCGTTTGGGTATTTTATTATATACCTTTTATAAAGGATTTGAAATAAAAATTTTTGCATATACTTAAGTCTGCTGAGTGAAAAATATTTGCCAAATTTTTGCCCCTAAACATGACTGCGTTAGTTCAACTTATGGACCAAGGCGTTATTGCGTCGATGAAGAGAAACTACAGAAGAAAGTTACTTTGCTCAAAAATTGAACAATAATCTGATTTAAAAGGTATTGGATTCATTTACTATTCTCGACTCTATTTACGAAATCTCATTTGCGTGGATTATGTAAAGTCTTCAAAAATTTTCAAGTCATGGGGAAAACTGTTACCAAACATCGAAAATTGTATCAAACTAGCAGCTGGAGAAGATGAAAGTGAACAGCTTGTCCTTATAAGTTTAATGGACTTAGTTCCTAAGGGAGAGAATGTGGACACAGCAAACCTGCAAGAGTGATTAGACAGCGACACTACTGACCCGGGATTTGAGCATTTAACGGATGAAGACATCCTAAGAAAATGCGGAAGAGAAAACGAGGAAAGTGATGAAGAAGAAGAGGAGATTGTTTCTGGTAGACGAGTGACTCACGAATTTGCCTTTTTCGAAGTAGATGAACATATAGAAAATATCGAAACATTTTATAGTACGTTGGAGCAGACGCTTAGGAAGCTTCCAAATAGAGAAATCACAGCAGTCGTAGGCGATTTCAACGCTAAAATTGGTGTAACTACAGAAGATCATTACTTGCGAGAGACCGTCGGATTATATGGACTTGGCCAAAGAAATGACAGAGGAGAACGCTTGCTACACTTTTGTATAGACAACAACCTGTTTGTTACTAATACAGGCTTTCAACATCACCCAAGACGACTATACACTTGGATATCACCAGGAAATAGATACAGAAATCAGATAGATTTTATACTGGTAAAAACCCGTTGGAGGAGCGCTGTTAAGGATGTTAAGACCTATCCAGGAAAAGATTGTAATAGCGACCATCAATTTTTATCAGCTGAATTCCGCATGAAGTTAAGAAACAGTCCAAAAACAGGAAATACAACAACTAAATGGCATCTAAGATATAACGATCCGTACAAAAAAGCCGCAATGCAAAAGCTATGTGACCTCAAACAATCATTAAATCCAGACGAGTCCTCAAACAGCATATGGACAAAAACAAAATCGATATTGCATAATGCTGCGAAAAATATTAAGAGTGATAGAGAAGAAAGAAGGAAACAATGGATAACGGACTCCACGTGGACTAAAATACAGGAGAGGAAGTGCTTAAAAGCCACAGGACTGAACAGTGAAAGTGATAAAGAGGCCTATAAAGCGCTGAACGGTCAAATAAAACGACTCTGCAAAAAGGACAAGAACACACACTTGAACAAAATCTGCATGGAAATAGAAGGGCATAAAACCAAAACTGAGACCAGAGACATGTTTAAAAAAATAAAGCAGATAACACGTTCCTTTACACCAAACTACCCTGCTATCAAAGATGATAACGGAACTCTACTCACTTCTAAAAAAGATATTTTACACAGATGGGAAGAATACTGTGGACGACTGATGATGGAGGAAAGCACAGACGCCCCATCACAACAAGAAGATGCCAGTTTTGCGACGGAACCTGACGTACTCAAAAGTGAAGTTGAAGCAGCAATTATGAGGCAAAAAAGTCAAAAAGCTGCCGGTCCAGATAACATACCTATTGAAATGATTTGGGCCCTAGATGACGTTGGAGTGGATATAATACATCAAATTTGTCAAAGAGTGTGGGAGACAGGTAAATGGCCTGAGGACTGGACACAATCACTATATATTCCCATACATAAAAAGGGAGCGAAAGATTTATGTAGCAACTATCGCACAATTGCTCTAATTGCGCATTGCAGTAAGATACTCTTACAGATAATTCTCGAGAGGATAAAGCCCTTTTTACTACCTAACATTGCGGAGGAACAAGCAGGTTTCGTCCCAGGACGTGGTACTAGAGAACAAATTTTAAACGTACAGCAGATTGTAGAAAAATCCAGAGAATTCAACATCACAACATATTTGTGCTTCATAGATTATAGTAAAGCTTTCGATTTGGTCAACTGGAGTAAAATGTGGCAGGTTTTGTCTGAAATGGGAGTCCCTAATCATCTGATACTGCTAATTAAAAGCCTGTACAATAACAATTATGCCAGAGTTAGAATAAATGGGGAACTAACTGACAGTTTCAGGGTCACAAAGGGCGTGAGACAAGGCTGCATACTAAGCCCAATTTTATTTAACATCTATGGTGAATGGATAATGCGGAAAGCTACTGAGGACTGGAATGGTGGCATCACCATTGGCGGGAAGAAGATTTGCAACTTGAGATATGCAGATGATACTACTATCCTCGCTAGTTCTGAAACTGAATTGATTCACCTGCTACAACGGATAGAAGACGTAACCTTATCGATGGGCCTTAAAATAAACAGGGATAAAACGAGAATCATGATAATTGACAGAGCTAACAACAATCAAAATCATCTGGTTAGGATAAACAATATCGCTGTTGTAGATAAATTTGTGTATCTGGGCTCATTAATAACCAACAAAGGAGGCTGTACTGAAGAAATAAAGCGGCGGTCAGCAATCGCAAAAAGCGCTATGGCAAAATTAACAAAAATTTGGAAAAGCCATGAAATTACTACCGATACAAAAATGAGACTAGTAAGAAGTCTAGTTTTTCCAGTTTTTACTTATGCATCGGAATGCTGGACCCTTACTGAGAAAGACAAAAAGAACATAGATGTATTTGAGATGTACTGCTGGAGACGAATGCTGAGAATACCATGGGTGGCCCGAAGAACAAATGAATCCATACTGGTCCAGCTAAACATAAAGAAAAGACTAAGAACACAAATAACAGAACAGATAATAAGCTATTTTGGACATGTGCTTCGAAGAAATGGTCTTGAAAAACTTACCATCCAGGGAAAAGTAGAAGGCAAAAGAAGTAGAGGTAGATCTCCTACACGATACACGGACCATATTGTTGCTACCATTGGCGCTCCATTGTCAGAATGTGCTAGATTGGCAGAAGATAGAAAAACGTGGAGGAACATTGGAAAAATTACCTAACAGCTTCATGATATCACGATACCTGCATCAGGTTAACGACTAAGAAGAAGAAGAAGAACATATAGAATACCTGGAGGATCAGGACGACTGGCTACTCGCTGAAAAAGTGATGCTGCATAAAATGCAATGTAGAATAAAGAAACACGTAATATTGTAAATTACATGCGATTTTCGTTATCCGCGACAACCACCACCATGCCACTCAAACCCACGGATAAACGGGAGTTGACCGTTTTTCTTATATGTGCCATTCTCATTATTACTTGCCAAAAATTTGCGATCCATAAAATTGATAATATTCCAATAACAATAACCGTCTATTTTCAAACCTTGTTCAGGACCAAAAAGTTTAACTAATAATTAACTTAGACTTAGTCTGTTACTACTCCAGTTTACATTTTTAATTCAACATTTAGCCTTTTGCGTCTGAAGCTAAACACAGAACTTCCCTAATTTCTTCCAATTCTGCCGATCTAGAGCTTCTGAGTCTGTGGTCTACATTTTTTAATACATTTATCATTTTTTATAACTATTACTGTAAGATTAATGTAAAATATTTTACAGGATCTCCATTCAACGCTAAAATCACTGGAGAGGGTAGAAAAAGGAACCAAATCTCTGTCGGTTCATGTAGCGAAGTATCCTTACCTGGTGGTAAAATCTCTGATGCAGATATCAGATCTCTTAATGCTTCCATTCAAGCACCCAGTGGTTTAGAAGAACCATGTTTCCTTAAGCGACTTCCTACAGGAAACATTGGCATATCATTTACCCCCAGGGAAATAGGAGAACACGTAGTCAGCGTAAAAAAAATGGGTAACCACATTACGAATTCCCCGTTCAAAATTAATGTTTGTGAAAGAGAAGTAGGAGACGCCAAAAAAGTTAAAGTTACTGGTGGTGCTCTAAAAGAAGGCAAAACTCATCAAGATAACACCTTTACTGTTGACACCAGGAACGCTGGTTTTGGTGGTTTGTCACTATCAATTGAAGGACCTAGTAAAGCTGAAATACAATGTAATGATAACACCGATGGCACATTAAACATTTCATACAAACCAACTGAACCTGGCTATTATATTGTAAACCTTAAATTCGCCGACCATCATTTAGAAGGATCGCCATTCACTGTTAAGGTAAGTAAACTTGTAGTTTGTAAAGTAAAAAAAGTTACTAATAGTTACTTAAGTTAAAAATAGTCACTAGGTGTATTTCTGAAGTATAACTCTTTTGTTATCTAGCTTCCCCATTAAATTCAGTTATCACTAGTTATTTTTGTTACGGTTAGGTAGTATTCAAAATTTAAATTGTCTTAAAATGGTTCTGGTTAATGTCAAATTCTTTATATCTCTCTCTTCAATCCTGACCCCCCAGGGCGAGTGTAATAGTCGACGTGATCTCGTGTATTGTCCGTCTCCAGAGATCTCTGTCTCTGGTCATTTCTTTTAATTCATGCATAGGTCTTTGGCATATTCCTGTAATTTGATCTATCCATCTTGTTGGGGATCTTCCTCGTGATCTTCGGCCTTCTATCTTTCCTTGTATTATGAGTCTTTCCATGTTTTCTGTGTTTGCTCTCATAACATGCCCATAATATTTTAATTGTTGGAGATGGACTTTACTAGAGAGTCGTTGGCTAACTTTTAGCTCTCTTAAAATTGAATTATTTGTTCTACGGTCGGTCCAAGGAATTCGTAACATTTGTCTCCAACAGGACATTTCAGTGGCGTCTATCTTGTTTCTCTCCGATTGTCTCAGAGTCCAAGATTTACATCCGTAGGTCAGTATTGGGAATATTAAGCAGTTGATCAACCTCATCTTTATCGCTCTTAAAATTTGATATTCCTTCCATATTTTGGTCATTTTTGCTGTGGCAACTTTTGCTAGATCACATCTACGTTTAATCTCTTCTTGTAATGACCCTGTGTTTGTGATTAATGATCCCAGATATATTCTTCAGATCCCAGATTCTTTATATATTTATATCGTTTTTAATTGTTGTTGCATTTCTTCCTTTAATCGTCATCATCATTAGTGGCATCACACTTTGTTATGAAGCAAAACCTTTTTCAGAACGGTCCTCCATTCACCCCTGTATCTGACAGCTCTTCTCCATGCTCGAATTCCAATATTTTTTAAATCGTCCTGTAAATTATCTTCCTTTAACAGCCCCTTTTAATATTATGATCTCAAATTTAGAGCTTAAGTAGCTAGTACTGGTTGCCTAATTCATATATTGTAAATCTCAGCAACTGCATCAATAATTTTTATTTTCTAACATTATCCGTTTTAAAAAAGATTAACATTAGATTATTATGTTAAAGATTTATTTAAACTGCTTAAGTTGACTCTTATATATTGGTTTTCTAGGTCACTGGTGAAGGTTCCAACAGACAACGTGAGAAGATCCAAAGGCAGAGGGAAGCTGTACCAGTTACCGAAGTCGGTAGCCAGTGTAAATTGACATTCAAAATGCCTGGTATGTTTTAAAACAGTATTTATAAATTGTGAAACGTACAATCTGGACATTCTGTTTTGGCCTAGATTATTGCAAGAGCTTATTTTTTAAATTGCGTAGCAGTATTTGACTAACACCCATTTACTATTTGGTTTCTTGCATCAATTTTGGCTTTTTGCAGTATTACTTCCATCTACATAAGTAATTTTTCAATGTTTTTATTTTGTTTATCTGTTTCTCTAGGCATTACGTCATTTGATTTAAGTGCTACAGTAACGTCACCTGGTGGTGTAACAGAAGATGCAGAAATTAATGAAGTCAAAGATGGTTTATATGCTGTCCACTTCGTACCCAAAGAATTAGGAGTTCACACTGTCTCAGTCAGATACAAGGACATTCATATTCCAGGTAAGCTCTATGTGTAAATTATTTTCTTCATAATTTATTTTTAAGTAAAAAGTTTATAAACATATTTATTCTTCCTTTTTTTTCAGGCTCTCCATTCCAATTTACTGTAGGTCCATACAGAGATCACGGAGCTCATTTGGTAAAAGCAGGAGGTGCTGGCTTAGAAAGAGGTGAACAAGGTGAACTTAACGAATTTAATGTCTGGACAAGAGAGGCTGGCAGTGGTCAATTGGCCATTTCAGTTGAAGGACCCAGCAAAGCTGAGATCAACTTCTCTGACCGCAAAGATGGTTCGTGCGATGTTTCATACAAAGTATCAGAACCCGGTAAGTAAAATTATTTCTTTATTCAACCAATTGAAGTTGAGACAAATTAGATAATGTTGGACCTAAAAAAGACAACAAAACAAATAATACGAGACATATAAGTCATATCTACAATTTTCGTTTAGAATTTATATATTTATACTCATAAACCGCGTTTTAAGGAGAGGGGAAGGTTTATTTTCAATTTTTAAACATTTTTAAATAACATGAAGGTAATTATAACATTAGTAGATTGTAGTACAACATTTCAAGAGCATTATCTGAAATTTTGCTAGATAACATTAAAAATTAAGAAAATGACAGCTAATTTTCCAAGATAAAAAAGACTTTGCTGTGTGATTTCGACGAACTCAATTGCTATTTTTTCCTTCTTCTTCTTCTTCTTCTTCTTCTATTTCTTGGAGATCTTTCGATCTGTTTAATTCTGAAGCTGCCTCTGGTTAATTTCCTGGGAGGTAGATTGCCAACTATCCCTCCATCTTTTAGGTAGTCTTTTGGGAGGTCTTGAATTAGGCGGGTTGTTTTCTAGGGCAATTTTTGGGAGTTTTTCTCATCCATTCGTCTTACATGATTAAAGCACATTCTCTTATACTGCATTCCCCATCTTACAATATCTTAATTTTGCACTTCTCTCTAAGGTTTGTATTTCTCACCCTGTCTCTTCTTGTTTTGCCCACTATTATTCTTAGGGTTTTAATTTCGGCAACCCTTAGTATCTGTTTCGTTTTGTTGGTATCTTCGCGCACTTCTATGCCATATGTCATGATCGGTCGTATGCAAGTCTTGTAGATTCTAATTTTACTATCTGTAAAATATGAATGTCAAATACGGATTTGACCAGACTATCTCCCGCAGATCTTTTGCTATTGTCATACATTTAGTTTTGTTGGTAGCACTGGTCATATTTAGTTGGCTACGTATTTGAAAGAACTGAAAGAGCTGTCTCTGAAGATCATCTTATGATTCGGCAATAATTGTTGCATCATCTGCATAACACACCATACCAATTCTTTTGTTGCCCATTCTGTATCCGAGATTGAGAGATGTTACTTTGTTTATAATTTTGTCCCTGCCCAGTTCCACTTAAGCGACGTGGTTCTTTCGATGACGTCTTGAACTCCTGATCTTTGCCTGATTTGTTGGTTTGTTATGTGGTCTCGAAGGCTCACGTTCAGCATTGCACGTTCCATGGCTCGTTCCATAACTCTGAGATTATTCGCAGATCTTTGCGTGAGTGTTAAAGTTTCCGCTCCATAAGTTTGTACAGGTAAAACACATTGGTCATAAACCTTTCGCTTGAGACACATGGGAATTGAATATGGTTCAATTACCAGTAAGTTTTTAGAATATGGCTTAATTTGTCAAATGCTGCCCGTTAGGCCTATTCGCCTCTGTATTTCATGTGTTTGATTGTCTCTGCTTATTTTGATTTCGTGTCCCAGATATTTGTAAGTGTCTGTTTGTTGTATGTTATTATTGTCAATAGTTATATTTCCACTCATTACGAGATTTGTCATAAGTTTACTTTTCTCAAAGTTTATCTTTAATCCTGCTCTTTCAGACAGACTTTTAAGCGAATGCATCATAGAAACTATATCTTGTAAATTATCTGCGATTAATACAACATCATCTGCAAATCTTAGGTGGTTTAATCTTTCTCCATCTATATTGATGCCCATATCTTGCCATTGAGTGCTCTTAAATATTGAGTCTAGAGCTGCCGTGAACAATTGTGGTGAAATATTGTCTCCTTGTCTAACTCCTCGACCTAAGCTGAATTTTTCTGTGTCTTCGTGTAGTCGTATACTTGATGTAGCGTTCTCGTAGATGTTTTTGATTAGTGTCGTGTATCTGTAATCTATTCGGCTTTGATTTAGGGCTTCCAGTATTGTTTCAAACTCTACAGAATCAAAAGCCTTCTCGTAATCGACAAATGCAAGAACCAGTGGTATGTTGTACTCTGTAACTTTGGTTATATTGTTATTATTTAGGTTATGGACTATCTTTGTTATGTTGGTCGGTGTTTTTATTTTCTATCAATATATTTAGAATGTCCTCCAGGCGAACCCTGCCAAACGCCTTCGTCAGATCAATGAAGCAAATATACGCTTGCTTGCTGAACTCTACAAATTTTTCGTTTATTGGTTTTATTATGAATACTGCATCTGTTATAGACCGCCCTCTTGTAAACCTTGTTGTTCTTCAGCATTAGTGATTTGCCTTCCCAATTTGTCCTTAAGAATACTCGTGAAAAGTCTCTTCGTTGTATTTAAGAGGGTTATTCATCTGTCGTTTTGTGGGCAAGTTTTATGTCCTTTTTAAATATGGGGATTGTGATGCTCTTATGCCATTCCTCTGGTGTTTCTGTGTCGTTTAAGATTTTATTAAATAGTTGTGACAGTTTACTTGCAAGTTCAGGGCCTCCATATTTTGAGAGTTCATTGGGTGTACCATCTGTTCCAGGTGATTTTTCCTTAAATTTCTTTTCGGGTTTCGTTTAACTTTGCATTCAAACAGCTTGTAAATAACCCAGAATACGTATTCTTGTTAAAGATAAATTGAGGGCTGTTTTTCCTAATTTCCAACAGTCGAATACGTCTTGTAGGCATTGGGAATTTCTTAGAATATTTGTTGGAGAAATGCTTAGTCCAATTCAGAAATTTGATATCTTTTCCACAGTCCACCACTTGGAACGATTTCGGTTTTACTCTGCTATTGTGGAGGACTTCTCCAATCATCCGGAGTTTCTGTATAAGCTTTGCCATTAATTAAACTGATCTCCCGGTCGCACTCTAGATAGGAATGTCCTCTGATCGGAAAAATTACTTTCACAAACTCAAACCGTCCTGTCTGAACTAAATAATGAAGAAACCGAAAAACTGTGTAATTTTTATTTTGTCCTCCACAAGAGTCGCAAAATATTATCAAATGTTGAACCTGTGATGACAGTACGTTATACACAAAGTGATCATTCATCGATTATTACACATGTGTAATAAGTATAGAAAACAGAGGCAGAATCGGTCAAAACATGTACATTAAAGCTTATAAAATTAAGTTGTCGTTTATAGTGGACATCGTTTGAGGTCACATTAGGGGTTGGTAAAGTCTATGGTTATGGCTTCGGTATCGATTGCTTTTGACGACAATTTTCGATATTTTCTTTTCACAGAATTAAATTTTTCAGTTCTCGCAAGATGAAGTTGTTTCTCGTTGTTTTTTCTTGTAATTTCTCCAAGATTTGAGTTTTATATTCATTACTGCTGGCATCTAATTTCTGCGAAAAGGCAAATAGTTATAGTATCACAGTAGCTACAGGTGTCTATTCTAGGAAAACCAAATGCAATATTATACTTTGTTTGAAAAATTTCGCGCAACTTGTCATAAGATAATTTGTGATCAGGTTTTTTTTCTAAGTACATAGTACGTAACTTAGTTATGTTAAGTTCTTCAGGGAGGTAAGTTTTCTTACTTTTTTTCCGGGAGTAATGCTATTTTCTTCCTTTTACGGAACCGGTAAATTCTGTCACTTTGACAATAGTATGTTCAGAAATTTTGTGAGGTCTAGTTCCATTGAGACCAGTGATTCTCGAATTAATTGCACCCGGAAAGCAGAAATTGCATGAATGGATAAGAATGCTTTGAAACATACACATCACGAAAGTCTCCATCAGGGCCACTCCTAACACGATAGAAATAAGAAGCAAAATTAGGTATACCTGTACCCACTCGAATTCGTCGACGCATAACTGGGAGACCGGTTATCAGACCACCTAAATACCGATTCTGATCGTCGTAGTTAGCAAGAACATTGAATAAATCAAAATGCGTCGTCTTTCGGCTTCATTGACGTTCCCAAAATAACTAAAACGGTGGACTTGCAAGTTGGCCCTACGTCATGAGTGGTGGATTTCAGAAGTTTCATAACGTCATGAACACGGCCTCTTTTTCTCATTTTTTTTTTAGTAGCAGTCCCTACATCTATATCACTACAATCGCTACCAAAACTTTTCATTTGAATTAGTATGTACTCACTACTTTACTATTGTTCAAATATAATCAACTGACAAACTAGAACACACCAATAAAGTCGCTAAACTAAGAAACAGAATCACAGAAATGCTGCAGGCTGCACCCGACCCGACTTGTTGAGACAGAAAAAGGGGAGCCTTCGGACCCCGAAGGTTATTCCCTCGCAGCGCGCGGACTATGATGGTTCTTTCTGATTACACCGTTTCATTTAACATTTGTAATGACAGGACTATAAATGTCCCTTTTACTCCGTACCATCCGAAAGTAGTATGTATTCATCAGTAGAAAACTCCGTCCTCTCAATTTCGACCAAAAGTGGACTATGATTGTTTTCCCCGGACTCCTTAATTATGTCTATATCAAAAAGAAGTAGTTCTAGATCTCTAGGACTTCGGTATTTCCGCCTGAAAGATAGTTTTAGGCGATCTGATTTGGCTAAAATTTGGCAACGGTACTGGCAACCCATCCATATATCTTAATACATCCGTATACCATAGAAATGAATCTACTACCTACTAATTCAGTTCCTATCATTAGCCTCTAGATCTGGCAATTCTTTGTACGTAAGGTTTGGCCAAATTTTTTTCAGAAGTTTATTATAACTTTCTCATTTACAGATTACCAATGCTCTGCTGCCTAGTAAATGATGTCTTTTATATTTATTTTTTTAAGTTTTTCTAATAGTGGCAGTAATTTATCTTCATCACTAATTAGTCGCCTCAAGAACAGCTTTCTGTATAACAGTTTCACATGCTGCAAAATGTGCTGAACCATTGGCTGTATCAACGGGATAACGTTTGGTGGTAGGAAAACAGCTATAATATCCCCACAAACTAATTTATCATCTGACGGATGAGACGTTGCATTGTCGATGAAAAGCAGAGCACTGGTTGACACACCTGATGTTTTACAATAATGCTTAACTTCTGGAACGACTTGGTTCTCAAACTATTCCTTAAAAATATGTG